CACACACACACACGCGCACTCAAACACACTCAAACGCACACACACACACACGCCCGCACGCACACACATACTGTATGCGCATGCACGCATACACACACACACGCGCACAAACACACACACACACGCCCACACGCAGACACACAACCGTTCACACACACACACGCACTTCTACACACACGCACACGCACACGCACACGCACACGCACACGCACACTCACGCGAACACGCACACGCACACACACGCACGCGCACACGCACACGCACACGCACGCACACACACACAAGCACACGCACACGAATACACGCACGCACAACGCACACGCACACACACACACGCACACAAAAACACACTTACACACACGCGCACGCACACACGTACACGCACACACACGCACACACACACACGCACACGCACACACCCACATACATGCACACGCGCACACCCGCAACGCACCCACGCACACGAACACGCACACGCACACGCGCACGCACACGCACACGCACACCGCACACGCACACGCCCACGCTCACGCCCATGCACACACACACGCGCACGCACACGCACACGCACACGCACACGAACACGCACATGTACACGCACCCGCGCACGCACACGCACACACACACACACGCACACGCACACACGCACACGCGCACACGCACACGCACACGCACACACACACACACACGCACGCACAGGCGCACACCCACACGCACACGCAAACGCATCCGCACAAGTACACGCACATGCACGAACACGCACACGCACACACACACACACTCACAGACGCACACGCACACGCACACACGCAAACGCGCGCGCACAGACACACACGCAAACGCCTACGCACACATACACACGCGCACGCACACGCACACACACACACACACACGCGCACACGCGTACACGCACACGCACACACACACACACACGTACACGCGCACGCAAATGCACACGTACACGCACACACAAGCAGACGCACATGCACACGCACACGCACATACACATACACATGCGCACACACACGCACGCACGCCCACGCCCACACGCACACGCACACGCACACGCACACGCACACACACCCACACACCCACACACACACACACACACGCCCACGCACACCACGCACACGCACGCACACGCACACGCGCACACGCACACGCACACGCACACACGCACACGCACACGCACACGCGCACGCACGCACACGCACACACACACACGCACACACACATACATGCACACGCGCACGCGCACACGTACACACACACACACACACACGCACGCGCACACGCACACGTACACGCACACGCGCACGCACACACACGCAAAGGCGCGCGCACACGCCCACATACACGCGCACGCACCCGCACACGCACACGCACCCGCACACGTACACGCACACGCACACGCACACGCACACGCACACACACACACACACGCACACACACACACACACACGCACTCGCACATGCACACGCACACGCACACGCACATACACATGCACGTATGCACACACACGCTTCGTCCTCCTTGCCCTTCTCCTCTTCGCGTTCTTCGCTCCTCTTGTTCTTTGTCCTTCTCGCCGTCCTCTCCGTGCTCCCCTCGTCGCCGCCCTCCTCCGCTCGCAGTTCTGCGCCCTCCCGGCCCAGTGTCGCTTCCTCCTGGGAGGGGGGTGACTATGATGTTGATGCGGTTGCTGCTGATGGTGATGACGATGATGACGCCAGCGACGACGACGATGATGACGATACTGATGATGCTGATAGGGATGAAGGTAATGATGCAGATGCCGCTGATGACAGTAATGATTATGATGATGATGCTGGTAGTGATGATGATGGCAATGACAATGACAATGACAATCAGACTGATCATGCTGATGATGTTGCTAATGCTGATGATGCTACTGGTGATGCTGATGATGATGATGATGATGATGATGATGGTAATTGTGACGGTGACGGTGATGATGATGGTGATGATGATTGTGGTGATGATGATGGTGGTGATGACGCTGATGATGATGATGTTGTTGAAGAAGATGATGATCATGATGCTGATGACGAATATGATGCTGATGATGATGATGAAGGTGATGATGATGGTGGTGGTGATGGTGACGATAGTGATCGTGGTTTCGATGTTGGCGGTGATGCTCTCGATGCGGATGAGTAATCTGATGACGGGCATTGAGGATGAACATGGGCAGGCGGAGACTGATCAGGACGAGAAGCAGGAGGATCATGATGATGTTGTTGATGATGATGATGGTGATGCCGATGCGGGTGATGATGATGATGATGATGATGATGATGATGATGATGATGATGATGATGATGCTACTGATGATGATGATGATGATGATGATGATGGTGGTGGTGGTGGTGGTGGTGATGATGATGATGATGATGATGATGATGATGATGATGATGCTACTGATGATTATGAGGAATGTGATGCTAGCGATGTGGATGGTTCTGATTGGTGATGCGAGGGCAAAGGTGAGGAATGACCAGCATGATATCGGAAGGCCTTGGCGGGGTTCTGTTAGCTCCCCCCTCTGACTGCTTGCAGGGCAGGGGTTGATTTACGGATTGTCTGATCGGTTGGCAGGTTGTCAGTTTGGTTGGTTGTTGGCAGGTCGGTTCGCCAGCTGGCTGGCTGGCTGCATAGAACGGGGAAGGGCTGCTGAATGGCCAGGCTGCTGGCTGGGTGGCTGGCGGGCTCGCTGCGCGGATCCGCCGTGTTGGCAACGAGGGACTCGGACCCCTCCGGCGCAGCTCCACTCGGCTGTTTGGGCGCCGCGTAATGGGGGGGTCATAAATGGGGGGGTGGCGAGGGTGGTTCGGAAAGGTACCCAAACGGTACCTAAACGAGCCCCCTGGGGCTCCAGAGGGACCCGAAAGGGGCACGAAAGGGGACCGTTTCTGACCCCCCCATTTATGACCCCCCCATTAAGCCACGCCCAGGTTATGGGGCATCGTGGCCTCGGCGGCGCGGACGCACTGCTGTTTGCAAGGGGTCGTGGCCTCGACGGCGCGGGCCCGCAGTAGTCCAGGGCGGGTCGTGCTGCCGAAGGCCGTTCCTCCACGACGCGTTTGTGGAGGACTGCGCCCTCGAAGGCGCGGGCTGAGGCTGATCACGTGGTGGTTTGCTTCGAAGGTGCGGATCCGTGTTGCTCCTGCGCGGGTCGTTGCCCCAGGAGCCTGGGGGGGGAGGAGGTGGAGTAGGAGCGGAGAGAGGAGGACATTGGGAATCTGGAAAGCTGGAGCAGGGATAGCGAGAGAGGATGGAGATGGAGGAGGAGGAAGAGGAGGAGGAGGAGGAGGAGAAGGAGGAGCGAGTGGCAGGGGGAAGAGGCAGGAGAGAGGAGGGGAGTGCGAGGGGTGGGGGGTCCAGTGCTCCGTCCGAGCGGCCGTCGCCCTGGCAGCGCGGAGAGTCGTCGTCTGCGCTCGTGCCCCGGGGCACCCACGAGTGGAAGAAGCGCGGTTCGGAGGTGTGGAGGCGTTGCTTTCTGACCGAGTGGGGTCGCGGTCCTCTTCGGGAGTTTACACGCCGGTCCTTGAGAGTAGGTTTTTTTTGGACCCCCAGATCCCAATCTATTTCAAGCGCCTTCCTACTTGAAGAGTCGATCTGATTATGCTGTGCGTTGGTGTTCTTCGGGAGGGCCTGGATCCGATCTACTTTATCCGCCTTCCTACTTCATGTGTTTACCTACTTTGGGTGGTCTCCAAACCAGGTGGTGAGACACCCGGTGGTGACCCCGATTCCCCAAACAAATAATTCTGGGTCGCCACCGGGTTTGGGGACACGCGGTCGCCACGAGGTTTTGCGTTTCCTGGGCCAGCCAGCGCTCGGAAACCATTACCCAAATCGCCCAAAACTCACCACTGGGTGTTCTCACCACCACGTTTGGGGACCACCAATACTTCTTCCGACCGGCGTGTAGCACTGCAGCACCTGCGGAACCGAGCAACCCTGTGGTTCTGAGAAGTCTTTCCTGGACGTTCACGATTGTCAGGTTGCGGAGCTCCGAACGATGCTTCAGTGCTGTCACCTGCCCCACTGCACTGCTGAGAACTAAGTTGTTCTGTTGCTGAAGCCTGATCCCCGTAGCTTGACGGTCCCCGCAAGGGTTACGTTCGAATTCCAGGCCAGTCAGGGGAGTTTGGGAACTCCTCTTCTGTATCCTTCTCAACCTTCGCCTCCAGTTTCCCCTGTTTCCCTCTACTCACCATCGTCCTTCTCCGTTTCCTCCTTCTCCTTTTTCCCCCCCTCCTCCCAGTTTCTCTCCTGTCCCTCCACCTCTTCCTCCCGTTGCCCTTCCCCCTGACCCTGCTCCTCTTTCCCCTCTCGTTGCCTTCCCCTTCCTCTTCTCCCCCTCTCGCTCCTGTGTGTCTCTCTGTCTCTCTCTCTCTCTCTCGTTGTTCTCCCCCTCGAGGGAGACGAGGAGGAGATTGAGGAGGGTCGAGGCGAAGAAGGAGGAGACGGAGGAGGAGGAGGAGGAGGAGGAGGAGGAGGAGGAGGAGGAGGAGGAGGAGGAACAGCGAGGAGGAGGCGGAACGAGGAGGATGATGAGGACGTGGAGGCGGGGGCGGGGGCGGAGGCGGAGAAGGAGTAGGAGGAAGAGGAGGAGGAGCGAGGAGGAGGCGGAGGCGTAAAAGGAGGAGGAGGAGGAGGAGGAGGAGGAGGAGGAGGAGAAGAAAGGAGGCAGGAGGAGCGAGGGAGAGGAGGAGGAGGAGGAGGAGGAGGGAGGAGGAGGAGGAGGAGGAGGAGCAGGAGGAGGAGCAGGAGGAGGAAGAAGAGGAGGAAAAGGAGGATCGAGGAGGAGGAGGAGGAGGAGGAGAAGTAGGAGCGGGGAGGAGGAGGCGTAAAAGGGGGAGGAGGAGGAGGAGCAGGAGTTGGAGGAGGAGGGGAGGAGCGATGAGGAGACATGTTAGAGCGATCGTGAACGAGGAGGGACGAGTAGGAGCGAGGACCTTCGCGCTGGCCGCAGCAGGTGCTGCTGGAGATGTGGGCCCTCCGTCGGGGCGGCTGCCCGGAACGTGCGCTGCGCTTGTGCGCCCGCGTCGAGGCCCGCGCCAGGGGCGGCGAGGACGTTGGCGATGGCGACGAGGACGACGCCGAGGAGGACGCGCAGCGGAGGAGGAGGAGGAGGAGGAGGAGGAGGAGGAGGAGGAGGAGGAGGAGGAAGACGACGAGAGGAGGAGGAGGAGGAGGCGGAGGAGGAGGAGGACGGCAGATAGATGAGGAGGCGGAGAAGGAGGAGGAGGAGGAGGAGGAGGAGGAGGAGGAGCAGGAGGTTAATCCTCATACGAAAATCCAGAAGGAGACGGAGTAGGAGGAGGAGGATGAGGAGGAGGATGAGGAGGAGGAGGAATAGTACGAATGATACCAATCAAGAGGAGGAGTAGGTAGTAGGAAGAGAAGGAGGAGGACGAGGAGGAGGAGGAGGAGGAGAATGAGGAGGAGGAGGAGGAGGAGGAGGAAACGAGGAGAAAGGAGGATCAGCAGGAGGAAGAGGAGGAGGAACACACACACACACATATCTATATATATATATATAGATGACGAGGAGGCGGAGGAGGAGGAGGAGGAGGAGGGGGAGGAGTTGGAGGAAGAGGAGGAGGAAAAGGAGGAGGAGGAGGAGGAAACATCATAACAACAGGAGGAGTAGGAGTAGGAGTAGGAGTAGGAGTAGGAGTAGGAGTAGGAGTAGCAGTAGGAGTAGGAGTAGAAGTAGGAGTCAAGTTAGTCAGCTCGAGCGAGGCGTGCATGGCATGCCCATTCCCACCCGCCCGCCCACAACGTAAGAAACAGTGCTGGCATAACCGGGAGCCGAGATCACATCGGCGAGCTGGTTTGGCACAGCTGATGCGGCCGCGACAGCGGTTACCGATGGGAGCTCCCCAGCTCGTCCCAAAGGTTGCGCGGGCATCTCAGCACGAGGCGAGGATGCCCCAAGAGGACCCAGGAAGCTTCAAGAGGGCCCCGGGAAGCCCCAGGATGTTTCAGGACCCCCCAGGGAGCCCCAGGAGTCCCCTGAAGGCCCCAGCGAGTCCTTCCCCAGGAGGCCCCAGGAAGGCCCAGGAAACGCCAGGAACCCCTCCTGGAAGCCCCAGGAGGTCTAGGAAGCCCCAGGAAACCCAAGAAAACTTGGCTGGCAAAACGCATCGCGCGCGCAGATCGGCCGCTGGTATGGCAGAATTCTTGCGACCACGATTGCGGTGGCTGATGGGAACTGGCCCAGCGCGTCTCAAAGACCGCGCCAGCGCGCGGGCACCTCGGTGCAGGTCGGTGACTCGGGCAGGCGCGATGGCATGATGATGTCGACCACGGTGGCGGCATGATGAGGAGGGCGGTGACCCGCGATGATGGCGACAACGACGGCAAGGTCAGCGACGGTGCCGATGATGGCGACGCCCGCGTGGTATATGTTGCCCAGAATTCGCGCCCTGGGTGCATGACAGAGCATGGCGAGGGCACCGCGCGGCGTGGTGAGATCGCAAGATCGTTTGCTTTTCCACGAGATCATGGCAACCCTATGGTTTTCGTCTGATTTCAGCAACCGCGCGCGGCGGGCAGGAATTCGGACGACTCGTGATGAAAAACAAGTGTTGTTTGTTTTTATGTTGAAACGCTTGCAAACACTGTGTGTGTGTGTTGGTCTGACTTTTGACCTGAACGTGCGCGTGTCCACTTTGTGGTATTTTTTGCAAGGGGTTATCGACTGGACGACAGGACGTCCATATTGAGAGGGATAATGACGAGACATGTTGATGTTGTGTTGCTTCTTGCAGGTTAGGAGGTGGCGTCCCGGATAGGGCGGCTAACGGCCGGGGACAGGGTGAGTATGAGTATATTCTAGTAAGGCACAAGGATCGGAGTAGGAGTTGGAATAGGAGTAGAAGTAAGAGTAGGAGTCAAGTTAGTCAGCTCGAGCGAGGCGTGCATGGCATGCCCATTCCCACCCGCCCGCCCACAACGTAAGAAACAGTGCTGGCATAACCGGGAGCCGAGATCACATCGGCGAGCTGGTTTGGCACAGCTGATGCGGCCGCGACAGCGGGAACTCCCCAGCTCGTCTCAAAAGGCTGCGCGGGCATTTCAGCACGAGTCGAGGATGCCCCAGGAGGACCCAGGAAGCTTCAAGAGGGCCCCGGGAAGCCCCAGGATGTTTCAGGACCCCCCAGGGAGCCCCAGGAGTCCCCTGAAGGCCCCAGCGAGTCCTTCCCCAGGAGACGCCAGGAACCCCTCCAGGAAACCCCAGGAGGTCCAGGAACCCCCACGACACCCTAGCAAACTTGGCTAGCAAAACGCACCGCGCGCGCAGATCGGCCAGCTGGTATTGCAGAATTCTTGCGACCACGATTGCGGTGGCTGATGAGAACTGGCCCAGCGCGTCTCCAAAGACCGCACCAGCGCTCGGGCACCTCGGTGCGGGTCGGTGACTCGGGCGGGCGGAATGGCATGATGATGTCGACCACGGTGGCGGCATGATGAGGAGGGCGGTGGCCCGCGATGGTGGCCACAACGACGGCAAGGTCAGCGACGGTGCCGATGATGGCGACGAC